CTCTCTCTCTCTCTCTCTCTCTCTCTCTCTCTCTCTCTCTCTCTCTCTCTCTCTCCATCCTCAAGATTCCCTCGCGCAATTTCAAGTGATAGCGATGTTTGAGTTACACACGTTCATAGACACAACAAGACGATAATGATCGACTTATGGTGCCACAACGCAAATCCATTTCGTAAGTTGTAAATTAAAACAGATCTCACAATCAGTCGAAATTATCGTCGACGAGATACGAATTTCGAACACAGTGATCGAAAGTGTTTACAATAGTCTCATTATTGTCTTACTGTCCTTGTAACGTATGCAGTAAATAATCAGAAATGGAATACTTAAATATCTCTCCCTCTTGGATTTCAAGAATACAGAGAAATGTATAAGATCATTTATGTTTCAGAAAAAGAAATTTTATACCGTATGAATAACACTGTTCTAATATTTATCTTTAACAACGTATATAATCGCAAGAAAGTTTCGTTTAATGCGGAATGTGAATACTCCTCGCACGCTATGGATCTTTCGTTGATGTGGCACAATTAGTATTTTCAATCACTATCGCGTTACTTTGTATTCTCCATGATTTGTCTCTCCGTCGCATTTCATTTATTAACCTGTAATGTATAAAAAACCCCAAATGATAAAAATATAATGTAACTTGTAACGTAATATAGAATACTCGTATATAAATATTATATAAAATATATGCGTTTCGTTATATGCATGTAATTAAATTTTCAATGGACTCATTAAAGTATTGGGCTCGATGAAAGAGTTGATTGCAAAAGTTGGAGTTGATGAAATACTACATTTTTCCATATGATATTTAAAGTGCTTTCGAAGACGTCGAATTATTCGAGTTCGCATCATTCTTTCAGAGAGTGCAAAGGTTAACGTTTGTTGAAGAAATCTTCTCGATAAGTCGAGGAGTCTGGCAGGTTCGATTAATTTCTTTCTTAATAGAAACTCTATCGCGAAAAGAGCAGGCGAAAATAAATCAAACTATTAAGAGAGAGTACAAGCTTGCAACATGTCGTAATGTTTTTTGCCATAAGAAAAAGTAGAAGTTTTTACTCCAAACTTTTATCGGATTGCGTTATTACACGTCAGAATTTATTTACTACTCCATAATAAAAAATACATACGTACTTATCTCGTTAGAAACTGATAGTTAAGCACAGAGTTAGGGGAATAAGACCTATCAACAAACTTGCCTATAATAATCATAATTTGTTTCCTCATTGCATAATAATATCATTGCTCAAACCTCCCGTCTAAATCTTTTTAATTCTTTGTCTCATTTCTCTTTTAACTCTTTTAATAAGGAACGCACGGATGGCGAGCGTACAGTGTTATAAAATGAAAAGGATGATCATGCATTTTATTGAAAATTCGATCGTGATCACGTTCGTGATCATATTGACTGTACATAAAATTACGCCATTTCATAAATCGTGATAGGTGTAAAGAGATTATTAACTCTTCTCAAATTTAAACAAATTCCCCCAAAAAATATATGTCAAATGCATATCCACGGATGGAACACGTGCCTAAGGATGTTGTCTGTCTATCGCGAGACAAACGGCGACATTCGATAATTCGATTTGTAGTCCCGCCGCGTGGAGCAAAGCTCCAAAGTTTATCGGGATATTATCTCGACGAACATTAATTGCAGTGCGACGCGATAATCGAGCTGCTGCGCAGCTCGGTGTGCCTTCGAGTTTGCCAATATTTCGAACGGCTCGAAATATTGACGGACGTGTGCAAACGTACATTGGCATGAACATTTCTTTTCCACAGGCCGAGAAAAAGGGAGCGTCGCCATCGGAATATGGGCTGGTTTTCGGGATTTTCGAGCTAGTGGTTTTCATTATTAGCCCGTTCTACGGACAAAATGTGAGTGATGAAATAATTAGCAATTCATGCATAAGACGCATTTTCAAGGTCATGACATGGACCTTACGCCATATGTCAATTCGTTACGTTAGTTGGATAAAGTTAAATAATAAAATTTGATTTTTTCGTCGTAAATCATACGCTCACTCATGCACGTCCTAAATATCTAATCTGTGCTAAAATATGTGTTACGAATAATATAGCTATCGCTGTGTGTAAAATATCAAAGAGATAAAAAATAATAAAAGTAATAAAATGGAAATATATACAGTACTGTAAATGTTACAAGTTCATGAAATTCGATTCGCAAATGAACCTACGTAATGATTATGGTTGCAACATGAAGCCACAAAGCTTGCCATTTCTCAGGCGCCGATTACTGCGTTTAAACATTCCTGAAATACTTGCGATTTCTTTTACAGCCACGTTTCTCCGCAGAGAAAATAATCGAAAGTTTACAAATAATTTCAACGGGGAGAGAAAATTGTGTATCTTAAAACGTTTATAAAATTTTTCACACGTTCAATTTCTATTCAAAATATTTCAAAATTCTAAAAAGTTGTGCTATTACGAAGATCCTAAAAAGTTATAACTGTTTATAAAATTTATAAAATATTTGTAAAATTTACAGAATACAAAATTGTATGAAATATATACAAAAATATTTTATTTTACGTATAGAAGTGCAAATTTATAAGATATCGCACTTCTCGCGCACTTTTAATGGCATATTCTTTAATCAATTTGAAGTTTATTTTTCTTTAACGAAAATATTTAAAGAGATTATTTATCGCAGCCTTTTAATTTAATTTATTGTCTTTCGCAGCTCAATCGAATCGGACCGAAGCTTCTGTTCAATGGTGGTATCCTGACCACAGGCACTTGCGCCATATTCTTCGGCTTATTGGATAAAGTCGATGGTCATTATCCCTTCATAATCCTGTCCTTTTTGATCAGGATTGTGGAGGCAATGGGAAATGCTGCATTTCTAACAGCTAGCTTTGCCATTATCGCTAAAGAATTTCCCAACAATGTTGCTACGACGTTCGCGAGTTTGGAAACATTCTTTGGCTTGGGCCTTATCGTAGGCCCCACAGTTGGAGGTGCACTCTATCAGGTAATGTGTTCTTACAAGTGACATTACCTTAATGCAGATATCTGCATTTTATACATATTCGCGAAGTAATTCGCACTGACAGTACACGCGATAATTTTAATCTAAATGACAGTAACGTTAATTAGGATATTATTAATATCGCATGATATTATAGATAGGTGGATATACCACACCATTCGCGGTCCTTGGCTCAGCGTTATTCGTGGCAGCCGTCAGCACTGCATTCATTCTACCCGTGCATGACGATAGCGATAATGATGCGCACAACACCGGAGGTACCAAACGGATATTTAAACCATGTGACTGGGGCTGTATCGATTTTACGTACAATGCATTATTCGTTATGATTCACAGGAGTAATGCAAGTTTTGAAAATTCCCGGCGTGATGATCGCCTCGATGTCGATAATCGCAACGAGCATGAGCATTGGATTTTTGCAAGCGACGCTGGAACCGCATCTGAGGCAATTCAACTTGAGCCCAGTGGTGCTCGGCTTAATGTTTGTCATTAACGGCGGCACTTACGCGATAACTGCGCCAGCATGGGGCTGGCTCTGCGACAGTTACTGGCATCCAAAGGTAATGCAAATGCAGAAAAATTAAGATCACCATAATTCTTCAGAAAATTCGAGCTTTCAATTGAATTACCCCCTTAAATTATATCACAAGTAATTCCGAGGGTAATCTCGGGTTAGCCATCGCCCCAAGGCGGATTGTATCAGACTTAAGATATATCATGTAAATATATATTGGTGCAAAAAATATGTGATGCTCTTCAGGTAGCAACCATTGCCGGCTGCTTTCTCGTGATGGTCGGTTTCTCGCTGGTCGGTCCAGCACCGTTCATCCCGTCGCCCACCATAATCTGGATGCCTATCAGCGGCCTTGTGATCCACGGCTTAGGCATGGCTGCTCAACTGGTTGCGAGCTTCACGGATGCCTTGAGAACGTCCATGTAAGTCGCACACGAATAACTCCGAAACATACAAATCTTCATTATTTTAACGTAAAATTTCCAAGTCGTCGATTGCAGTTTATATTACGCAATTGACAAATTTCTAACATTATACAATCGACAATACTTCTGACGATGTCACCTATCTGTTCCATGTCAAGATCGTTTGGATTTCCGAATAGTCTTGAAATTTACGGTCTCATCAGCGGATTGTGGACAAGTACCTTCGCTCTCGGTGCTTTCATCGGTCCCAGCGTCGCTGGGATTCTGCTGGACAACGTCGGTTTCAGACATGGCTCTATGTTTATCGTGTTACTTCACATGTTAGTGGTACGTCCGATTTGTTTTACATGCAATTTGTATCTCTTAGTTGATCAAATTAACTGTGAAATATTCACAACGAAGCATCACAGCCTAATGCAATATCTTTCCTTCCAAAGATAGAATCGTGTGTGTTCGAAGTGATGCTCGGAGCATAAAACTTCATCTTACTTGAATCCTACTAAACTCTTCGAAAACTTAAATCTTTTCGAATTTCGAGAACCAACCAAGTTCGATTATCTGCGCGAATATCTCGGATTTGAGTTCCTCAAACAATATAATTATTTGAGCCGTATATATAAGTTGCTTATGATTTTTTCGCAGGGCGTGGTAGCCGCAGTGTTCCTGAGCAGTTGCGCCCGCGCACCCAAACCGTACACCGACGTTGGCACGGTCGAGGATCTCAGGGCACCGCTGATGGAGAGCGGCCGATTAGGCAGCGGTAGTCTGCATCAGAACGGACGGGGCCAGGGTGTGCCGATCGACAGGCCCGGCGGCATGAATTCGCTGATCGTGTGTAACAGTTATTCCAATAGAGCTGGTGCATGGTCCAGGGCATCGTACAGCGGCCGCTACTCCCACAGCTACGGCTCTATAGAGAACAAACGTTATCTGGAGCTCACCACATGATAACGAACAGTCAACATCTTGTCTAGAAACGGCAACGAGAGTACAGCGCAGGATTCTGACACTCTACACGCCGTCGTTCACACTCTGGCTTTCATCGCGGTCGCTCAATCTCCGCAATAAACTGCAATATTTGAGCGGAAACACAAGAGACTGTTTCTTATTCTAAAAGAATATCAGACAAAAGTCTCATCATTCACTTTACCGGCAAGCTATGATGGAACATATATGATAATATCATAAATAATTTTTCGTAAAGCCCATTTAAGCTTACAATCATATCGCGATAAAAGTGATATAAAATCAAAATTGACAAAAAGGAATAGCTTAAGTATGTCTATTTAAATTAATTCTTATTACGCTGTGCAAATAGCATGCTGTACCTTTAGCACAGTATAATTAGAATTAATATTCTACGTCACCGAAGGTAACGCAAATTTTATATAACATATATACATGGTCGGTCCAGAAAGTATCGGGACTGATTTTCTCTAGCCAAGGGAAAGGGGTGGGAGTCTTAGCACCGAATTTTTCAGTTCTTTTTTCAGCAAAAATTCGGTGCTAAGACTCTTGCCTTTTGGACTCTGATCGACGTCTTAGTGTTTGAGTTTCACCCAAAACTTGATCGCATACCGCTGTTCAATCGCGCGCTGCATTTTCATTTCTGACGACACTACAAAACAACTGCTCACTCCGGGCGTGATCTACACTCTGCAAAGGCTCAGAGGCAATTCGCGTCGTATACCTGACATTTCCCACTAATTTCCCTGCCCGTACAGACCACCCCCTTCTCCTTCCCTTTGGCTAGGAAAAATCAGTCCTGATACTTTTTGGACAGACCATGTATGTATAACTTCAAGTGCAACGTAATGCGTCGCAATGCTGAGTTACATTCACTGTTATCATAGTAGGATTAATACGACAGCAACTACGATAATTATTATAATAATAATTAGAAAAACTCTTCATGCGAAAACGGTTGAACCCTCATTTAAATACGCGAGTTTCATTCTCTCGCTGTCTCCGCACTGTCTTAATCGTGCTATCTTAATTTTTTAATTAAGTTAAGTAAGTTTTACAATATGAGAAGATTATAAGAATATTTTTATACAACGTTAATTAGGATTGATAGACTAGAAAATTGATAAAATAGAATGTAATCTGTAATTAAATGTAAATGCAATTTCAGAGTAATATGTAAATCGTGATTTTTCAGTACATTCTTGGTGTCTCCTTACATTTAAGATTTCAAAGACTGCGTACGTAAAAAGTCACAGCATTTAAAGGTTGAAGCAACCAATCCCGAAAGAACGAAGTCGAATAAGACATACTGGTGCATAAAACGCTTCAAGCAGTATTCACGAGAATGCATTATCGGCGATCGCTTTATCGCGATTTACTTAAGGAGTTACAACACTCAAGAGCCCCCCAAAAAAGTCAATTTTCGGAGATTTTTTCTGGAATATAATAAACATAAATAAAAATCTGTTTAATCCTTATTATTCTCTACACATTGAAGTGTAAAAAGAATTTTTTATAAATTTTTTCTCAACAAAATGGCGGCGCCAAAACCATGGAACCAAAGTGCCTCTTTGCGGAAGTCGCATCAAGGGCGGAAACGAAGCTGCCTCATCCTTTGAGCTGGAACAAAAAGCCAAAGATTTTTGACAAATATATAACATTTTCTTTCGAACTACGTACGGATTTTGCAAAATACCATTTTTTGTAAAAATAGTGCGCGTTGGAAAAGAAAATTGCACTTTTTGCTACAAAAATTTCGCACAAAAGTGTTTATAAAAACCACAATTTTCGACTTATCGCAAAGACCGTACGTAGTTCGAAAGAAAATGTTACATATATTTCAAACATCTTTGGTTTTGGTTCCAGCTCAAAGGGTGAAGGAGCTTTGTTTCCGCCCGTGGGGCGATTTCCGCACTTTACATCCAAGGCTCTGGCGCCGCTAATTTGTTAAAAAATTCATTAAATTTTTTTTATAATACTTCAATGTATAGAGAATAAATAAAAATAAACAGATTTTCATTTACGTTTATTATATTTCTGAAAAAAGTCACCGAAAATTGGGTTTTTTTGGACTTTAAAGTGTTGTAACCCCTTAACGGATTCACGCTGCAACGTATTTTTTCTATTAAGTTCTCGATTCGACTTCGATTCTTCCGTTATTGTTACTATTACATATTACCAATAATAATGTCTATACTCCAGAAGAAGGTCAGTCCTATTATCTACAAAATTTACACGGCACGCACATAAAATTATCGACTTCTCTAACGATACACCTGTTAAATGTTACTCTTTGTTCACAACGTATGTACGTATATTTTATCGATATGGCTTGTCATATGAAAGTTGAGATGCGTTAGAAATCAAATCGTTGAAAGGCGTTAGAGGCTTCTTAGAGATGAAATACCCTTATAGCTCGCAACTCGACGCTACGTAACGGCCAATAAAGAGTCTTCATTTTATATAAATTTTAACAGCGTAGAGAGTTATAGCAAAGTGATGTAACGATCTCGCTATAAAATTAACCGTTGTAATGTAAAATGGCATCGATATCGAATACTTTGCCGTACTTTGCAGCATCGGAAAACGTTGCCGGTATTCAATTGGTGATGCTTAAATCTAGAATTATGCAATTATACCGTTGCACAAACCTGTACTTGCAACGGCATAATCGCATAATTCTAGGTTCGAGCGCCAACGGAAAAAGGTAACGGACGTTGTGGGTGTTAATGGTGTCGTCGATATCACGTGCAAATGACTTTCGTAACAAGCTTGCAGTGTGATTATTGCCAATCATCACTGCAACTGTTCACACGAGAGAGAATCAAGGGAACTAAATAACGAAATTGTACATATACCGTTTTAATTATTACTGCTATTTTACCGCTGAATAATTGTCACTCACGCATCATATATGTCTGTGCGTATGTGTGTATGTATGTATGTATATGTGGGTGAGGGAGTTTTTTAACAATATGCCATATAATTCATTGTAAGATAATTTTATGAAAATAAAATAATAGAGGGTAAATGCACGTAAATTATAAATTAGGAGAGTCTGTAACAAAAATGTTGTTATTGAAAATATATAATTCCCAATTATAATTTCTACAATCCTTTGAACGCTATTATTATTTTACGAATGCTCTTACGCAATTCTGTACGAGGACACAATGATAGAGCTACCTGACACACCAGGCAGCAAAAAGTAGTCGAGAAAAATATCTTGTTTAATATAGGTTTTTTTTACGCATAAAACTTTGAACTTCTTTGAAAGGTAAACGAGGGAAGACTCTCTGACCACTCGGTATTTTAACGCGGTACAAAATATTACGTATAATAATACTTCTCTCTTTCCCGCCTCGTTCACGCCGTATTAGAAGCTAACGCATTCCGTACGGAGATGCGTATCCTTTCCTCTCTCCTTCGTGAAATTCACTTTCATACGTCTTTCAATGCCTTTAACGACCCGTGCCGGGTTTCCGAACGTCGTCGTGCCTGACGAGCATAGTTCTTTCCTGCGCTCGATTTGAATTCCAAGCTGTTCACGCATACGCGACACGCCCACGAACGTGCACGAATTCTTTAACAATGTACATGCGCGACCGTCTGTTTTCTCGCTCCTGAGTGTGAATGTATAACAATGCGAAAAAAGGGCGCCGTTCCGTGAACTCGGCACGTGCGAATGTGTGCGTCGATGATTCATAACTCAAATATTAAATGGCAGATAATCGCGGTTCCGAGAAAGGACACATTGTTAAAGTGTTTGATCATCATTTTAAGATATTTAAACTTAGATGGACCTTCTTCTATAACTGGCTCCAGAGCCGAACTTCCATTTGTCCACCATAAAGCATAACACATTTGCATGCCACCTGGCAAGAAATAAACTGTGACGGTCGATTCGTTCACAGAATTCGCCTTACTTTAAAAGTGCCGTAATGTCAGAAAAATACAATTTTGTATTCTTACAAATCTCAGAATGCGTTACTGTTTATTACTATCGATTACTATTAATTTGTAATTGCTATTGTTACTGTATATTGTTTAACGCGCGCAATTTTGAAAATCATACATCTTCCCGATCGTAGAAACGATATTCCAGCTGTATATATTATTTTTAAACAACTAATCTTCTTTTACATAAAATTGTTGATTCACGTAACAAATATATGCAGAAACTTTTTTTAATTTCTTATTTGATTACTCCAACGTCCAAGTTTCTCGCGAGAAACTCAAGTACTCTCCAAGCGAGAGCTCAAGTATCCTCCTCCCAAATAATTTCGCTGCATCTGCACGAGAATGTGCAATACGTAAAGCTATCTAGATATAACTAGTGTTTCCGTAACTATTTCGTATTCCACAGATCGCCGTGTTCACTCGTGTGCATCGACCTGTCGGTAAATGATTCGGCTATTTCTACAATGTGCTAGCAGAACTCTATTCGGCACTTCTCACCGCGCTACACGATTGTTGCATGCAAGATCGACGATTGGCACATAAAATCTACTTTGTTCTTTTAACGAGGTTTATTATGTCCGAGTGAGATATGTCAAATTCTCGCGGAAAGCAAATTAAAGTGAAATAAATTTTAAGAAATGCACGATGTTAAGTCTAACAGAATCTCGCCATTTACGACAATCGAGTATCAACATTACTCGCGTAAAGAGTTACGTTTTTCATCTTCGTGAAGCGAAGAGTAGTCTCGTAAAGTGAAGGAAAGATGAAAAAGGCGCTTCGTGTGACGTACGAGCGGAAGGAAGCAATGAAAGGGAGTAGGCAGAGGGAAGCAAGGAGAGAGAGACACGGAGAATTTGAGAGTCCTCGTTCTACTCTCTTCAAACACAGCCGGGCACGAAAGCGAAGTGAAGGAACGAAAGGAAGACGAGGGAATTATTAACGCATACGGCGTAGCTCACCGGTGTGCATCGAGGTGTCCGCCGAAGCCCTAGCTTCCCCTTCCTCCGACACCTTGGACCCCCTTTCCCTCCCCGCGATTCCCAACGGCGAGACATAAGGCGTTACGTCGCGGATTCCTACGGATCTGCCGTCCCGGCTGGTTGAATGCCGGAATCCCCCAGCCGGAAGGAACAACACACGGTCGAGGGCAACGCGATTGCGATTAATGCAGTTATATAATAAACGCTCGCCTTTGACGCAACTGAGGCAAGTGTGCCCGAAATACGTCCTTAAGTTAACCCTTTGCCTGTATACGCCGTGGAATCGAGCTGGAATCGAGAGCTCCACGATGGAGAAAAGTACAGTTTGAAGTCGACAATTGATTGAGGCTTCCCATTGTTAACTCGTACTGTTTAACCCAAATCTAGTGAAACCCAACTTACTCGATCCAAATAATAAACTCTGACGGAAATATCAAACGATCCATTTTTTTAGAACTGATCCACTTACAAGTCCTTTTGGGTCTTTCGAAGTCAGATTTTTTTTTATTATCTACTAACTTGTGAAGATTAAAGTAGAAAGTGTCTATTTAGATTTGATATTTAGATATTTAATTAGACCCAAAAAAGATATCGGTATCTTTATCAGCACTTTTGTTCTACAGCAAGAAAGAGGGTAGACATATCGTAAATAAGTATCGGTATCGGCTGTCATGTAGACAGATAGGCAGGTACCAATACACCTTGCTTCCCTCGTTCCTCGACCTACCATCAGGTGCACCCATCAGGCGAGGTGCTGCCACCTGAGCAGGCTACACCCGCAGATAAAGCCAAACATAATGTTCACGCACACGTACAGCAGGCAGCCCGCGAAAAGCAGCAGGTCCGCAGAAAGGGGGTTGCCGGTCGTTCCTCCCACCTTTCGCCCTGTCAACCGGTAGAGGGGTCCCGATGCGCAAGCGCAAAGACCCGTGGGTCCTTCGCACCGAGACCGAGCGGCCGGGGCCCCGAGACTCCGAAGACTCAAAGTCCGCTTCTGTCGTAGGGGAAGTTGCCGCGGAACGTGCTACTCGTCGGCGTTTCTTCAGCGGTTCGTGATTTTCGACCTCCGCGAGCACTCGTTTCCATTTTTTTTTTCTATTCCTATCTCTTCTTTCCTTTTCCACGCGCTTCGTCCGCGAGTGAAACGTGCGCGTGATTTTGGGATTTCGGTACGTTACCAGTGACGAAAGAGAGAAGGAGAAGGAGAGAAAGAGAGAGAGAGAAATTACCCGTGTTGACCGGTGTGCGCTGTGCCATGGGGATCTAGGAACACCGGTCAGGGTGAGTTGCTGATTGCATTGCCTGAGGCAATTTTTCTCACTTGATTCTAAGAAAAATACAAAGCTACGAAACTCTTATTCGTATGACAAATATTTGTGGAAATAAGAAAACTAAATATTTTATTTTACTCCTCTGACAACTTGTAAATGCACCGACAGAAAAAATTTCCGGATCCAATGCTATTACACTTCAATGTATCATAAAATAGGATCGATATAGCGCCAATCATATTTATTATAGAGAAAGGAGTATTTTAATCTTATAAATGAAAACTTCTCAATTCTAGAATAAAATGATAGTATGTATCGTCTTTTGTCGAATATCGCGGTGACAACTGCGTGCATTGTAAGAGGGAAGAAAATTTATTCGAAACGCAAGAATATATATAATAACTTACATTTATATAAGTTACTCTTGTCTCAATATACAATAGTAAGTCAATATTTTTTAATTCGATAAAGGAGAATAAGAATTATTGATTTTATTTTGATGCTGCCTTATTTTTATACTAAATGAGATTGTGAGAAATATAAATGCGTCAAGAATATTTTTGTCTCAGAAATCCTTTCTGGGGGTGTGGAAAGAACATGTAATAAATTAAAATGTGATAAATTTTAAATACAGTGTTACTTTTTATGAGTTCCTTTTTAGAGTTGCAACAAAATGTTTACAGTTTGCGATAACAAACTGCAAGCAAGGAAGCAAGCTTAAATAAGAATAGAAATGACGAGAACGTTAAAAGTTCGATTTGAGTATTAATGAAAATTTCGCTCTGCACGCTTATACGAATTATTGTCCCTTTTTATAAGCCCAAGATAAAAAATAAATTTACATTACGCAACAAATTCCCTTCAACATCACAAACTTGCCGATTGCCTGACTACGGTGTCTTTACGACATCACTAAATTGTCCTAAACATGTGCCCGTCGGCGCCATTCACTTTTTACGAGGAGTAATGAAACGGGATATCGAAAGGCGAATAATAGTAAAATTACCAAGAGCAATTGATTTACACGGCGATTTGTAGAATCTTGATTCGCAAAATTTCAGTTTGCAGAATCTCACATTGTACTTATCCAAACAGTTATATAGAATTTCTTTAAATACCTTTTTCAACCGAGGGCGACGTTACGCCCGTGTAATTATCGCCCGCAACCGATCGCAGCAACTCGATAATACGGCATCTTCTGCGCAAGATACGGAGGAGTCCCCGCAACATTTACGTTAATATATCCACGGCACGAAAGTGCAACGCGATCCCCGGTTCGCCGCGCGGAGGTAGATAGCCAAGCGGAGCACTGACCGGTGATTTGAATGCGCGATGCAGTCGCCAGGCGCTACGATTCATAAACGCTATCCGTATCTGCTCTCCGGTACCTGGTAGCAGAAATATGATACAAACGCGATCATATATCGGCGCAATTTGTACCCCCGGACGGTGGGTTAATGTTACTGACCTTTCGCGATATAAATTTACTGTTCTTAATGACACCCCTTCGACGAAATTGTCGTCCTTCCAAAGAGAAAGAATACACTCGTTCCGCTCGTAAAAAAATCAGATCGGTCGCGAGAATCCCTCACACTTTTCTCGTAGGTTTTCAAAAGTCAGTCACGATCGTGCACAGCTAGCGCGAGTTTTCTAAGGCAGACTTATTTTAAAACGTGACTAAAGATGTACAATTACATTTAAAGGCCCAACGCATACGTTTTATCGCTCACCATATGGCGCGGCGCTGATCGCCGGCTCTCGTTTTATTAAGCACCTTCGATTTTGCCTCGAAAAAAGTACCCTGGCTATTTCGCGCGCGTAGGTTACGCTATCCGCTGGCGTATTTGAAATTGTGATTCCAGGCGTGTCCGAGGAGGGAACGTTAGGGCGAGCAGACGAATGAACGAGCGGACGGACGGATGGACGTACGTATATGTGCGTGTACATCGTCAGAGATCAAATCACGTTAGCCTAATGCCGGGTACGAACACGTTCGTACGTGGGTGGTTGTATCCACGCTGGAATCTCGGCTGCGCTTTAACATCCTGTGGTTCTTCGTAACGCGAAAGGATTCCCGTAGGAATCCAATCTCACGCAGTATCACGTTAATGCGAGAAGGGAATACGGGCCTGCTGGCCGAGAAGTAATAGAGAGTAATCGTGGCTAATTTAGCTAATTTACGACTTACGACAATTGCAGGTACGCAATCGCGCCACATGCGAACGAAAACATTGGAGTTTCCTTAAACATAATTGCACGTATTTGTTAATAATTTTTTATAATTTAATAAAACGAGAGGGAGAGAGAGATTTAAAATGTACATTTTCTCTGTCTTGTTTCATTGCTTAAATTTTCAACGTGATTTTCAAATGCAAGAAGAACGTGACATTTAAAAAGTGCGTTCTTAAGAATCCCGATTAGCGGCGGTATTTTATTTTCATCGCGATATGATGTCACCGAGGGTAATCTCTAGCGCCGCGACGAGTTCATGATCTTTCCCGCCTCTCTTCTCCTCTTCCCTCCTTTTCGGTCCGCGTAAACAGGACGCAGAAAACAAGCGTCATGCTCAACGGACTGAACGAAGACGGCGCGAACCACGGGTGCGCGCGATTAATCTCCATTTCGCGCAATTCCCTGTATCGCGGTCGATTATTCCCCCTCCCCTGCCGGGGACGTCGACGTACAAAGTAGGGGCCCGAATTAATCGCTCGATAACGACATGCGACGATGTATAATGCGAGGCCCCCGCGTCCCGGCGTCGGGAGACAGACCGCCGCGGCTGGTTACACTGGTCTCCGCCGGCGAGCCAATCGCTTTCCGCATGTGTTTTGCATATGGACTCTGTCTGGTCCAGCGGGCCCCTCGTGTTGGGGTCCACTCGAAAGGAGATTCGGGGCCTCTCGAACGTCTCTGTATTGCGTGCATACGTGTGAGACATGTTTATCGTGTGCGTTCACGTTGTGCACGTGCGACGCGAGAGAGAGAGAGAGAGAGAGAGAGAGAGAGAATGTGTATGTGTGTGTATGTGCGCGCGAGCGTCGTCACGAAATGTAGTCGAACCGGCTGCAAATGCGCACATACTACAATGCGTTCCGGGAGCTCGGTGCCCCGGAACTCCGTGGATGCTGGGCCCGGGGGCTCCGACGAATTTCTTTCTCCTGAGACGCGTATGCGGTTTACGGTGGCAGAAACGCGCGCGCTGCGGTAAAAGTTTTACACCTCGCGACTTATACGGACTGCGGGCTTTCCTCGCGTGGTCGAAAGCAGTGAACGTTGCTCGGTTACGGTATCGCGATATCAAATGCATATACTTGTTTATGCGAAAACGTACCGCCTCGACTCTCCCGAGAAAACGCGACAGTAGTTAAATGTTTTCTAGCAAGGTCGCGATAGATATCGAGCTTAATTAGACATTCATTAATAGTACCGAGAATTCTGTAAACGCCAATCGAGATATTTAAAATTAAACGCCTGCTCCTAGCAAGGAACTCTGCGAGCTCTACTCGCGTGGCACAATAATAAATTTCGAAACCGTTGCCGGAGAGACGCTTAAGGGGAGCATAATGGCATTGCCGCATTCGATCTATGCATCGATCTTGACCGCCGTTGCATGTTCCGGGCGTTTCTCGGCAACATCGCTCCCGGCACCGAGAGGCAGAGACGAACGGACCGTTCGTTCGTCCGAAAAAGAACACCTCGGCTCGGCGAAGAAAGGCTCGTAAAAGCGGCGTGCAGTCATTGCACGGCACATAGGATCCGCGCACCTCCACCGCTCGCAGAACAGCGAACAATGGCTACTGACGTCACGAGACTGCACCTGTAGCTGCACGTGCATGTGCGCGAGGACCGTCCCGTGAATCGCGAACCCCGTTCTCGCGGACCCCGTTCCGCGGCTCCCGAACCGGGCGAACAAGTGTTTGATTCGCGACGTATGGCGCCAGCATCTCTTCGTTTCCGTATAATTACACACCATTATTTTGCATATTGCTTGAAAACGTCCAACCGTCGAAGAAATCGGAAGAGAATTCAATAGTGCGATGTAGCTTTTACCCGGTCAATTTATCATTGCTAATACATCGCTTGTTAAAAGTATGTTATTAGCTCGACACAAAAGATTTGTCGGTTCTCCAGGCTTTGCATTAGATAAAGTTAGAAAGTCAAAGTTCTTTAACCCGTCGCGCTCCAATGTATGGAAACATACGCTTTTAAAAAGACAAACATTTACTGTACCTACAAGTAACTGTCAATTGTGCACAAAAGGTAATTAACAAAATTTTGTAATAAAAAATAATGTTGATAACATTAATTACTGTGTATATCTCATATTTTTTTAAATAACGCAAATGTTCAATTACGTATCTTATAATTGCGAAAAGTTCAAAACAGACCATGAAAGCTCGTAGTGGTTTCGCAACAAAATCACTGGAACGCAAAGGGTTAAAAAAGGAGACTAAACAATTTTCTGCAAATGAAAATAAGAATATATGAAAGTTAGTGACAAAAAACAATTTTGTTTCGATTCGTTATGAATATATCTAATCTAATAGCAATTTTCAAATTTATCTATATCGGTTTTTTTGCATTAGTAATAAACAGTCAATTCAATTTTACAAGTATAAAATATAACTATTTTACTTATAGGTAATGCATCTGCTGGTAACGATCGATTATTGTGAAAGATCGCGAAAATCGGACGCGGAACGCGCGATGTCTCTCACGACACGTCGTGAAATATCACGTCGGATGCAGGCATCGCGCGAAGATCCGTGGCGGGATATATTGCGAAGCCGTAAATTTCGACAAATTATCGGCGAATTGTGACCGTCGGCAAAACACAATCCTCGTTGCCGAGTAAATTCTCTCACGTTGCCGCGCAAAAATGCCGCCGCGACGGGACAACGCGAATTTTTTTCGGGTGCGATCGCTCTCCGGCTGGACTTTCACCATTTAAAATTCGTCTGCCTTCACCTGACCGAGTCATCGTTCGTCCGGCTCTCAAGACCGGATCGA